GCTGTCTGTGCTGCCTGTGAAGGCGGTCCAAGCGTCCAAGCTCCCACAACAACCCCGGACAAAATCACCTAACTGCTGAAAACCATGGCCCACTTCCTGGGTCAATTGGTCAGAAAAGCCAATTTTGTGTTGGTATACTTCCCGCCCCCAAAAAAAAGTCCAGGAACTCAGGGAAAGAGATGCACAAACCGCTTGAATCAAGAAAATCATGACCAAAACTGCCAGTTTTTTTTTTAATCAATCTGCTTCCTGCCAGCTCCGCCGCACCTCCAGCAGCACCTTCTCCTCCGCAAGACTGAGCTCCACCGCCAGGAAGCCCCGACGCTTCAGCGCCCCCAGCAGGGCTGGAGCCTGTGTCGCGGGGTAGGCATCCTCTTCTAGAAGATGAGTCCACTCAAATGCCGGGGAGTGATTCACTGGAATTCCCTGGGGGGGGGGGGGTATTCCATTCAAATTCCTGGGGGGGAGGGGGCGATTACATTGGATCTTTTGGGGGGGGGGGGGGATTAGGACGCCAAATCCCCTGTTGAGATGGTCGTTCAACAATGCTTTAAAACGGGGGAAGGGTCGTCATGCTGCTTCACACCTGCGTTATACCGAAAAAGCACCACCAATACAATGAGGGAAACTACGAGGATTGACTTTGAACAACCCAGCAAAGGATCACGTTTGACTTCCCAGGGCAGTGAAAAGAATGGTCTTCGTTTGGGCATTCCGCGGTGTTGGCCTTGTAAAGCAGCGAGGAAAGGTCCACAGGCAACAGGTAAAAGCACAGGAAAATGGAGAAATGCTCATGAATGCGGAGTATAAGCAACATGTTTGGAAATCAAGAAGGGTTAAACATGTCTCGGGGGTCCAGTTGCTTGAAGCCTTTTGATGCTGACCATGTTGACCCCGCCCCGGATGGACACACTTGGTGTATATGTGTGTGTGTGTGTGTGTGTGTGTGTGTGTGTGTGTGTGTGTGTGTGTGTGTGTGTGTGTGTGTGTGTGTGTGCGTGTGTGTGTGGGTTGTTTCTTCTTGGTTGGGGGCACCACCCTCCCCCCCAAATAAATAATAATAATGCTCCTCAACTCCCGCACTCTTTTGCCTGCTGGGCCCCCTTCACCAGCCGCCACAGCACTAGCAAATGGGTGAGCACCCGCATCACCAGCAGAGTGCAGAGTTAGTGGCCAGCCTGTTCCCTGAATTTCCAGGGGTTGGACAAAAGCTACCATGCGCTACAAACTGAGTCACACAAAACAACAGGCGGCTGCTTACTGTTGCTTTGGTGTCCCTTTTTGGTGCTACATGAGGCAAGTGGGAATAATATAATAATATAAACCAGTTCCGTACCGCTGCAACTCTTTGACCCTGCCTCAGAGGCGGCGGCAGCGGCGCGGCTGCTGCGTCGCCAAAGGAAGGGAGAGGCCATACCCCGCACCTGCGCTCGAGAGCAATGATATCAAATCTGCGGGGAAAGCACCAACATAGCCCTGCGAGGGCACCTGGAAGTTGAGAGAAGTCATGCCACAAGTGTAGTTCATCACTCGCCGCACACGTCCGCACCCTCCCAGACGCCCCCTACCTTGAGGGGCGCCCCCGCGGTGCAATTGCCACATGAATCGTGTTTTTCGGTGTGCTGGAAGCATGCACCTACGCCAAGGCTAGACATCTGTCTTCCCTTCCTGGGAATTGGCTACGTGGGGGCTACACGGAACATGCTTGCTTTTTGGCAAGTGGCCAAGAGTGGGGCTACGCCGGGCCTACGCGATGGTGCAATCGGACGTAGCAAACGGACGTAGCAAACGGACGTAGCAAACGGACGTAGCAGTAGTAGTAGTAGTAGTAGTAGTAGTAGTAGTAGTAGTACTAGTAGTAGTAGTAGTGGTAGTAGTAGTCAAAGTAGTAGTAGTGGTAGGAGGACGAGGAGTAGTAGTAGTAGTAGTAGTAGTAGTAGTAGTGGTAGCAATAGCGGTAGCAGTAGGAGTAGTAGTAGTAGTAGTGGGTGGTGGTGGTGGTGGTAGTAGCTAGTAGTAGCAGTAGGGGCAGTAGTAGTAGCAGTGGTGGTGGAGGTGGTAGTGAGTGGGAGTGGTGGTAGTAGTAGTAGTAGTAGTAGTAGTAGTAGCAGTAGCAATGGTGCGATGATGGAATGGCCGTGAAGGCGGGCATGTGGGCCGAACAGGCCTTGGAGGCAAGGGGGGGGGGGTATGCGGAGGTTACGCGAGGCTACTTGGTCCGAGCAGTAGGCTACGCGCCCACTATGCCAGTTCCCCTCTGCTTTTGGCTCCTGCAGTAAACAAAATACTGCTCACATGGGCGACTTTCAAGATATCCTCCCATCCAACGACGGAGCCAAACAAAATGAACTCCAGGGCTCAACCGCCCCTACCCCAATTCCTTTGCAAACAGAGCATTCTCCCAAGCCTCCGGCGATGGCACGACCCGGGGCGGGGTTGCCACCGTGCGCGTGCCCAGCGGGAGCGGCATCGAATGGATCACAGGGAGGGAAGTGGTGGATGAGGGAGGCTGCTTTGTTCAACAAGCCACTTGTTAAAGCACATACCCTCCCACCAGTTAACACGGAACCTGATAGGGTCACAAGAAAGGAAAGTGGTCTTCCAGTGTCAGGGTATGTTCCACATCAGCACCGCATGGGCGACGTTTGAACAGTGGCGGCCAGGTTTCAAGAACCGCCGGCCGCCATCAGTTTGAGCACTCTTGTTCAGGTACGACTCTGAGTGGGGCACTCGCCCCGAAACACATGTCACAGAATGAGACACGTGCATCATCCCCTTAGACCACTTAGTAGAAACCCTGATAGGCATCCAAAAGGGACTCCAACTGCTAGTCCACTCTGACCGGTGTTTGAAGGGATCTACTATGCTATGAGCATGTGGTCTTCAAGCGTCATGTTGGCAACACCGATTCTTAGCAAGCAACTCTAGCATGCAGGTGTGCCTTGAGTGAATATGAGCCAATGGTTGAAGCAGCGAGCAATAGCACTTCCTTGGCTCGTCATCAAGCGGGTGCAATTAATGCTGGCCGCTTGCTGGCGTGATGTGAGGCGAGACAATTCACTCACTATGCAGCAATACCGAACATTGCAAGAAGCGTCGACCGTGGATACCACGAATCCACAATGGCAAGGGGGAAGCTTACTGACGACCTGGTGTTCTCCACATGCACAATTCTTGCACACGGGAGCACGCAACTTGGGCCCCGGAAGCCCGAGATCAAGAAAGCCTCAATGCACCAAATAAAGAGATGCCTCCAGCTGCTAAAACGCGGGAGATTCAACATGAACACGCAAATCACGTGGCAAACTACTACGGTGTCGTCACCGTAGTTGTTGGAAGACCCAGAGCTATCTGCTTCGCATGGGCCTTAATGTAAATTGAGCTAGGAATCCTATGCTGGACATCAATTAGGTGGGGATTCAGGTCCAACAACTATTTTAGAAGTGGTGTCCTATTAAAATTAATGGCCATAGGAATGGTTGCCCTCCATTATGCACACTGGGCCGTCCGTCCTCCCGATCCAGTCTAACAAAGGCTTGGTTGCCACAGTGAGAGATCAGGGTTGGATTCGCTTCGCGCACACCTAACAAGCAGCAGAGCAAAGATGCAGTCAGGGCTTGAACTGCGTTCCTCTAATATCAACCAACCGAGGAACAAATAGAGGATTGTTTCAAGCTGAGCCAAAGGAGAAATCCTTGAATCACTCGAGGGCAATCTACCGCAAACAATCACGAGCGTGTTGCTTCTTTTGGGAATTCCCCAGTCCACATCTTGTTGTAAAGAGAGTAAGAGGAGCCAACCAATTACGCACATTCCTGCCCCATGATGACTTAAACTGGTTTAGACTGTACCCCATTTCCTTGTTGTTGGCCCTTAGTTGGACCCTGGGCAGCGGTGGCGCGCACAAAGAGCAGGTTCAGGCGCATGTACCAGCGCAGCTGCCTGGCGGTTGGTTTGATTTTGGTATTTGTCTCGAGGGGGGAGGGGGCGGTTCTTTGACCCTTGTGTGACCTCCATGCTTACCTCGTGCCATTATCTTGCCGGATCTCAGCAGGGAATAAGGGAATGACCCCTATAAACTGTCCCAAATGAAACCCCTAGGTTCATTCCCAACATCCTGAAAATCAACATCATTTGGGTATGGGTCAAAATTAAACAAATTAAACCAGGAAACGGACCGCGGGTTTCAGTCCTTGGTTCCATTTACCACAACTCCATTCCATTTTGGGCACTTATTTTTGACCCAGACCCATCTGACTCCAACAAGTAGGATGCAAGGAACGTAGCACGTTGCACGCTGCATGTGTTCGAGCAGTTTCCGATGCTGCAAATCAGCGCGGTGCCAATCCAATCCAATCCATGTATCAATCAAATCAGTCAAGTCAATTCCGAACTAAAATCACAGTCCCGATCCAAGTCCGAATTTCAAATCCAATGCAACCCTATCCATGTCCATATTTAAATATTGTCAAAACCATACTACAAGTCGCATCAATTTCATGCCAAATCCAGTCCAACCCAATACCCTCCCATCACATCACTCAAGCACGCAACCAATGAATCTATCCATCGAATCAAACCAATCAAGACAATTCCAAATCAAATCGCATCAAATCCAAACTCACTATAATCAATTCATCAATCACACCAAACCACGCAACACCACACCACATCACACCACACCACATCACATCACAACCAACCAAGTAAGCAAGCAATCAAACCAAAAAACATCAAACCCAATCAGCGCCAAACAAAACAAAACACATCCAATCTAGTCTAATCAATCTATTCAAACCAACCGACTAACCGACCGACCAACCAACAAACAAACCAACCAATCAGTCAGTCAGTCAATCAATCAACCAATCAATCAACCAATTCAATCAATTCAATAAAAAGTCAATCAAATCAAATCAAATCAAATGAGTCCAATCAATCAATCCAATCAATCAATAAACCAATCAATCAAACAATCAATCAATCAATCAATCAATCAATCAATCACTCACTCACTCACTCACTCACTCAATCAATCAATCAATCAATCAATCAATCAATCAATCAATCAATCAATCAATCAATCAATCAATCAATCACTCAATCAATCAAATCAAATCAAACAACCAATCAATCAAATTCAAAAGAAACAACACAGGATCGTGCCCATCCTATTTCAGTATGTTTGAATAGTGGCACCCCACAAAACCTGGCTTCTTTGGGGACTTCCCCTCAGCCCAGCACCAAAACGGGGACCCTCAACACTCCGACGAGTGTCCCAGCCGCCTGGAGGAGAACCGATTCTTCACATGGCTGCGGTGTGCCACCTGGCGAATTTTGAAGGCCAAGTCATTGGCAGAGTAACTAGTTTTTCCAACTCTTGGCTGGGGGGGGCTGGACCCGAAAGAAGCCACCTATCATAAAACAGTGGGAAACATCACCAATCCTAGGCCGAACAACAAGTAAAGTTCAAGCAAAGCTGCTTTTTCTGACTCATTTAACGTCTGTGACAAACGCCTGAACCTCCTTGGCCAAGGACTTCGATTTCGGGAGCTCTCCAGCCCCTTCAGCAAGCCCAAAAAAGTCCGCCCTTACGCCCTTACGGCCGGGAGGTTGGAGAACCGGGCCGCCGCGCGAAGGTGCACGCCAAGTTCCCGGAGGCGACGATCCACAAGGGCAGCGCCGTGAAGAAGTGGGGCACCCCCGAGCCTTCGCTCCGGGGGTTCGGGGTGTGGGATCCAGTCGGCTCTCAGGGTGAGCTTCCTTGTGGCGGCTGTTCGGTTTTCCGTCCGGGAATGGAAAAAAGAAACGAAGTTCCAGTAGAGTTAATTTGAGTCCCTTAAACACCAACATGAGGGAAACAAATTAAGCATTCTTAAGCAAAGGAAGGCTTTTGGTTGCTTAAAAGTTTCCCGGTTCCTAGTCTTCACAACCCTGGTTTAAGGGCTTCAGGGTTCAGGGCGAGTTTGGCCAATACAATGTGAAGAATATAGCGATCACACATATGTGGTGAAAATCCTCCAAAAGGCACCACGCTTCTGCTAGAGAAGGCATCACGCTTCTGCTGGAGAAGGCACTATGCTTCTGACATATCTAAGCTTGCATTTCCAGACACATGCAGCAATATGGCGAGGTTGTTCGCCTTCAAGACACACAAAGCGGATTGCTCCCGAAGGACGCAAGGTGGAGTTGTTGGCTATGTCGGACTGGTGTTTGACCCATCCCATTCGGGCAACGACCTGGCTGAAGTCCCAAGCCTCTTCTCAAAGAAGGATGTCAACACCAATATCTTTAAATAGTTCAATTACTTTACATACATACATACATACATACATACATACATACATACATACATACATACATACATACATACATACATACATACACACACATACATACATACATACATACATACATACATACATACATACATACATTACATTACATTACATTACATTACATTACATTACATTACATTACATTACATTACATTACATTACATTACATTACATTACATACATACATACATACATACATACATACATACATACATACATACATACATACATACATACATACATTACATACATACATACATACATACATACATACATTACATACATACATACATACATACATACATACATACATTACATACATACATACATACATACATACATACATACATACATACATACATACATACATACATACATACATACATACATACATACATACATACATACATACATACATACATACATACATACATACATACATACATACATACATACATACATACATACATACATACATACATACATACATACATTACATACATTACATTACATTACATTACATTACATTACATTACATTACATTACATTACATTACATTACATTACATATTACATTACATTACATTACATTACATACATACATACATACATACATACATACATACATACATACATACATACATACATACATACATACATACATACATACATACATACATACATACATACATACATACATACATACATACATACATACATACATACATACATACATACATACATTACATACATACATACATTACATTACATACATTACATTACATTACATTACATTACATTACATTACATTACATTACATTACATTACATTACATTACATACATTACATTACATTACATACATACATACATACATACATACATACATACATACATACATACATACATACATACATACATACATACATACATACATACATACATACATACATACATACATACATACATACATACATACATACATACATACATACATACATACATACATACATACATACATACATACATACATACATACATACATACATACATACATACATACATACATACATACATACATACATTACATACATACATACATACATACATACATACATACATACATACATACATACATACATACATACATACATACATACATACA